GGATAACTGTAAAAGTTCAAAATTCGYTTTAAAAATATATAAAATCGGGGCTAACAGCTAGCAATCGAGTATGCAGCAAATTGTTGCTATGTACTATTCGACACACAAACGCTTTTGCTGACACCTTCCCCTTTAAATTTTCGTAATTTTACCGAGATTTCCGGTTTAAGTGTGAAGTTGTTTGTATTTTCTAAAGGCCAAATATCGCACTAAACTTTGRCGTTATTTTATTATATTTCCCAGCGCTCATAAAGTTTGCCGCCAAATCCCTTTTCGCCATTAAATTTCCAACTCCAAATGTTGTTTGTGCTTTTGAAAGTTACGCGAAATTTAACCCATGCATTCAAGCGCAAGATAAAGCACTTCCAATTAACGTAAAATAAATAAAACTCAACTAATTGTTTGAAAACTCGACAAACAAAGAATACGCTTCAAGGCGAAAGCACACYCACAAGCGCACACTTAAAGGCACATGGAAAGGGCGCACAAAAGGAAGTCGCCAAGGAAGTGAAAATAAAAAATGGAAAAATAACGCATTCTGTTTTTGTTGTAGTTGTATACGTTTTTTTTTTTTCAATTTTTCCGCTTTTTACTGAAGTTTCCACTGGGCCATTGGCCGTGCGCTCGAGAAATGGCGGGAGTGGCGTGCAAAGTGTTTCTTTATATGTAGGTATGCTCGAAACTTACGTGTTTATATTAACTAAGCAAATATGTAGAGTTTTTGCTAAGCAAATTCTAAACAGAAGCGTTGTGTCAGCTCCAGTATCATTTTCGCTCTGTTTTGCTCGTGGCTCGGTGCTCTCCACGATATTTCGTCCATCTCCACTTACCTCATATGCCTGTATACACACATACGTACGTGCATATGTGTATGTGCGCGGCTTTTAAAGTTTCTTGCCTACTCTATTGTGCGCCTGGGTGCAATACACATGAATACCCAAAGGAAATTTGAAACWTTAAAAACTTTTCTAAATATATTCAATTGCCCACAAAAACGTTATTCGTTTTGCCATGACCGTTGCGCCTTTACAAAACCGAACTTCTTTACTATTTTAAAATTTAACGTAATTTGCTTATGCTTTTATGGGTCATTTCGCGCGTTAAGTTTGAACTTTTGATGTTTGCTGTGGTTACGTATACGCCCCGCACTACGCGCTCATTGATTATTTTAATATGTATTTTAAAGAGGATAATCGAGCAGCYTACACGCTTGTATGGCTATAGCAATGCAATAGGAATAGTTATTTATATTTATAAAATGATCTTATTCAGCGGAATGTCTGTTATAAAAGTTTCAAATGTATTTTTGAGCGATAATACTTTGCAATAAGTGTGAAATTTCCTTAGAAGAAAGAGTCAAATTTATAGAATATACCTCTATATTATAAATATCTAATCAAGTTTAAACGCCAATTCAACTTTAAGGCAGAGCAAATGTTCAAGTTTACGTTTGCCTTTACGCCCAATTTACGAAATATACCGACGGTAGCTATGAAGCCATTTAAAGATGTCGCGACGCATTTATCTTGCAATCATCATAAACGCAGAGCGCCTTACAAATGAGTCCTTACCCGTACGCGTACATATAGTCGCAAAGCAATGGMGAATACGCCGGATAATTGTATAAATTTATCACTTAAACGCAACTTAACTTCCACTTCCTTGATCACAAAGGACAGAGCAGTGCAGAAAGCCCCATTAAAAGTCTAGTAACTGCTGAGAAAATCCCCAAAGATGGAGAAGACAATATGTGATTCTTCACGCAAAAAAAAAAAAAAAAAAAAAAAAAAAAAAAAAAAAAAAAAAAAAAAAAAAAAAAAAAAAAAAAAAAAAATCACAAAACCACAGGAAACAAGACAAGACGAGAAAGAGAGAAGCATTAAAAGCGTTGACGTATTTAAAGTGCATACATAACAAAGCAGATGCCGTGGCTGAAGCGCTTGCGAAAGACTAAAAATTACGGAGCGAAAAACTCACAAAAAGTATGAAAATGGCGACACCGGCAATCACACTGAAACGCAAACGCAAACGCAACGTCTTCGCCGACTCAAATTCACGCGCACACACGTACGCAAGGAGTGTGTGTGTGTGTGTGCAGATATAAATTCACACAAATAACGACATCCTCGGCGTGATAAGCACAAGAAATATGAGCGAAGGATATAAATTGTGTCAGCGGTGAAATGATAAAAAACCACTTAAAGRCGCAAACAATAGCGGAGCGCGAACGAACGACAGAGCGAAGCGCGCGGCGGCAGCGTAGGACGCATTGAAACCACACAGTCGMGCGACTGGACGAAGGTGCGAGTATATGCACAAAGGCGAAACATTGAAGAGGACAATTGTGTTGACAATGCTAATAAGGCAGTTGTCGACGTAGTCGCAGCGGCCGCAGGAGCAGTCGGTAGTTGAAAGCGACGAAAGCAYAGAGGCGTACAACTGACACACCGCAGAGTGAAGCAGCGGAACGTATACTAACTAAACACCCGCACTGGGGATGACAATGAAACAACCAGACAAGCGCAGCGACCGATTTAGGGCTAAGACGACTCTATGCTGAAAATTATAGAAATAAGCGAAAAATCTGTGGAGAAATTAAGAGGCACTGGATTTTAGTAAAAATTTAAAATTACAATTTCAGATATAAATGGTGCTAGACAGACCAAAAATATATATWATACCAAAAATTTTGATTGCCTTACTTGTCTGTGACCGAAATCTTACAATTAACATGGGATTACTGCAATCTTTAAGAGTGAACTCCTCAAACTCATCCCTAATCGGTGGAACATTAAAACCGATCTTAAAATTTATATAGGCACATAATGGTCTCCCATTATTGCTCGAGGTGCCCGCTTACGCTAAAGGAAACTCTTAATTATCTTACCATTTTCGAGTCGGTAACTATGGTATGCTTGCTGGGTTAGTTGCCAGACTAATAGAAATAACAGGCAACCGAATGAGCACGAATAAAAGAATAAATACAACGAATTTGTRTCTGTTGTGTATTGAAGTGAGATTATTACCATCACATCCTCATTTATGTTTCTTATCAACGCTACTAATGTATACACGAACAAGCAAAATAAATGCTTAATGTATAATGCCGTAACGGAATAGCTGCACGCAGCTGGTGATGAGACGGAGAGTTGACGATTACAATGGTCTGCTGCCGTCCATGATGCATGCCCACAAACCAACAGCACCGACGCTCATTTGTACGGTTTCATTCGCAGGCGCAGGCAAAAATTAATATTTTTACAGCGTCTATGGCGAATTTCACACCCGAGCAAATTCTCAAAATTTACTAGGCAAACTTTTCCCTCAGCTGCGTATGCCTTCACATAATTCTTTCACATTTTCACTTTTCCCTTCTCTACATTCTTCTCCTTCTGGGAGTGTGTGTGTGTGTGTGATGGTGCAAAAAAAGGCGAGCAACTCGAAAAAATTCGGAGGAAATATTTTCAGCAAATGCTTGCTGTTCTCCGACAAATTCTGTTTTTCTACTTTCTTGTGGGCGCTTACTTACCGGATACTTGCTGATATTACCCAGCACCAACAAAAACACACTTTTAGTAAATGTAAACTGAGTAACATCATCCACAAATTATTTCCATTGAATGCAGCTACTTGGCCATCAGGGCAATGCCTTCATCTACGCGCCCTCTACACCCTGCTAACTAATGTGCGAGTGCACTGCCATTTAATTTTTTACTGCTATGCGCTTCGCTTAAGTTACTAATATAAGTATTGTATACTTAGTTACCAGCCGTGGAAGAGCTCATGAAGCTTTGGGAAATATTTTCGACTCGAAAGAAAACTTAACGGTACTAAAATCTATAGACTGTTCATTGGAAAATTGCTTTACTGTATTAATTCTGGCTTATATGGTGATACATTRTTTTTACCGGGCTGGTACTATGAAAGAGATAAAAAGGTTTAATTACCCAAAAGAAAGCTAAAACATATATTAATAGTTATTTAGATTTGTCTTAAGGCCTGCAACAATGGTAAACTACATGAAATGCTTGTTTGCAAACAGAYATCCGAGGGTAGCGAACTCTAGGCAATCTTAGCATCATTTGGTGAGAGTGGAGTGAAATTAAATACAATTATTAAGGAGGAAATATGTTTTTTCTTAGTATTTGGTAACAATTTCAACAATTTTTTCGGCGCTCATAAATCTTTTTGGCTTTTGTGCGATGTTTCCTTACCTCTCTAAATATTAGATCTAACTTAGGCTCTATATTATGTTATTGAATATAATGTTATCACAATACGACAGAAATAAATCTTTATACACTATCAAATATGTATATATGTATGTAAAATGTATATACTATGTATGTAATCAAGTCAATAAAAAATTGAAAGCTCTTGCCGAGCCGGAAGAAACATCAAATGCCCATCTGCGATGCCGATAASACATCAAATTAGAACGAGGCATTCAAAACAACATTATTTCAGAGCGGACAAAATTTATGGATCGCTGCCGCGGACAATTGTCATCATCACACGGCCCAATAAATTAGGTGACCGTAATGGTTGGGAAATGAATTCAGCGATGTTGCAAATAAGTGAGTACTTAGAAGCGTTCATAAATGCGAGAGACATACGCATCAGTGGCTTAGGCAACAATATGGGCGCAATAAAAGAAGACGAAGTTGCTGGGGAGGTTAAGTTTTTGATCTGTGTTTGGGAATATCTTTATATATTATAYATTTTTTTGTAAATTTTTTTCCAACTAAAATTTGGCAGAAATTTGGTTTGCAGTAAACATTACATTTCACAAGCAGTAATATGCTGTAAATAGATTCATATGTAGTTCTCATAAACACACATTTTAAGTACACTAATTCCAAAAAAATTAATTTAAACCCCAAAGCAAGAAATGAAAAGCGATTTTCAATATTATTAAAAGATTGATACTGCTTTATTCCCATAAATTGAAGCCTTGAGTTGTCACATATATTTCTATAAATATTATTGTTACCTTCTAGTTTCGATGTCCGGGGGAGAGCGTTCGAAAAGGCGCTGTATTGGTCGGACACCAACTCGTTTGGACCTCGCGCTTACTTCATTACCAATCAGCAACCTGCAAAATTGACGGTCGAGAATGTTCAGTTGGATGATGAAGGCGTAAGTAAACGAAGACCAATAAGTCTGCACACAAGTATAATGTATATCAAATTCCTGTCAATAAGAAAACGATACAGAAGCCAAAAATAATTTTCTTTATTGTTTAATTGTATAACATTTTATTTCGAGACTCAAATGTCCATTAACATAATTGAGCTTAACTCACTTCATTTCTGTCCCACAGGTATACAGATGTCGCGTCGATTTCCAGAACTCTCCCACGCGCAATCATAGAATTAATTTAACGGTTATTGGTACGTATACACACTGGGCCTAAGTCCACCAAACACGTAAATACGTCATTTCAGATACCACGCACCACGCACTAATTGCGTGCACATTCACCTCTTAATATATGTATGTATGTATAAGTGTGCATGCACTCATCTTGCAACACACACACACATATATAGAGATGAACATATAACTCCCTCACACATGCTTCGTTGTGATTAAAATCGTTCTTTAATTTATACACATGTAGACATCGTGTTTTCATTACTCTCTTTTCGTCTTTCCTTCGCTGCAGTTCCTCCACATCAAATTATGGTTTACGATGCTTCTGGACGTGATGTCGCCGGTGCTGTGGGCCCGCTGCTCGAGGGCGACAACATTGTGTTGACATGTGAAGTACGAGGCGGTAAGTAAAACTGTCCACTTAATGTGAATGTAATGTAAAAGGGAAGGTTGGCAGAAATATTATGGCTATGTGTGACAAATTTGACCCGGACTGACAAATGAAAATTATATTTTCACGTATTTTAATACAAGTCTTYATTACTGCCTTCAGCTCAGATCAGCTGATGAGCCAACTCAGGCATCAAAACCATTAGTTCACTTTTTTATAAATTTGTTATAAGCCCCGGCTGAGGTGGTCTTCTGTGTTTTTTTTTTTTTTTATTATTGGTTTCGACATAATTTTAGAACGTTATTTGCCTGATTGGTAAACAGTTTCGTTTAGGTGGTGATTTCGATGACTTCGCGACCTTCACAGAATGCTTACTGTCACTCAAATATTTGTGCTCGTRATAAAATAGACTCCACAAAAGACGTATGCCACATATTCAATGACTCTGCAGACCATGAAAACCAAGAAAATTTCACTTRTTTTAAGCAAACCAAAAATTGTATGTCTACGGTAAAAATCGTCCGACAAATGTTCGGATGACAAACAAACACACTAATAGAGACCGAACTTCACGTGAACATTAGAAAGGTTGTACTCATAGCATTTTGAAAAATATGCATATTTGGTCTTGYGGACTTTGGTGGTTCATTGGAAACAGCCTTCATAAGGGAGCTGCAATCGTAGGATATCTCGGAACGTCTAATTGTGTTATATTGACGGTATATGACGACAGAGTCAACTTTTCTTCATGTAAACGAGAAGCTAGCAATATTGGCTATTCTTAAATTTTAAGATTTCGGATAACTTCTCCRAATTTCTTCTATTTTCCCATCATAATACACTCATGACCCGCAGGCGCTTTCAACATCGCAAATCTCGTGCAGAGTGCTCAAGGTGCCAAATCACAAAACAACGAAAATCATTGTAAAAGCGATGTAAAGACAAGCATAAGTGAAGCCTGTTGGAAATAATCTATATATATTATACCATATGTGCACGTATGTAACTTGTATGCATAATAAAAAGCCACATATGTCGTTTTTAAGTTGTTCGCCAATGACCCGGCCATTACTCACACGCCGCAGAGAGCGCGCTTAGAGACACCCGAGCGACACTTTTTTGCGCGCAGCTCAAACCAAGAAATAAAGCGAATAACTTTTTTTTCCAACAAACGTGAGATTTAAGATATTATTTTCGGCTGACAGCATTGAACTTTTTTTAATGAACTTTTGCAGCGAAATTGCGAAATTAAAGAAAAAGTGTAAAGCATTGAGAATTCTCGCCTGTGAGCCAAGAATTTCAACACATTTCTCATTGCTAAGCGGCAGAGGAAAAAGTCTGCGCGAACTTTTCAACTTAATCACAATCAAAGTAAAGCTCCAGGCGAGCGGGCAAATACGAGCACACACAAACGAACACGAACACGCGCACATATCTATTTATTCCAGCCGTTGTGTGGCGTAAAAAGGCTTTATGGTAATTTGCGGCATGTTGATTACATTGTATTTAGAGCTTTATAAATTATACGTAAGCGCTAATACACATCCGCTCGGAGGAGAAATTTTTGCAGCAGGCTAGTTCCGGCTACAATGTCTGCGCCGCTTTTGGAGCATTTCCACGAAAGGCCATGGTGGCAGTCAAGCAGTTCGGCAGAGGGTCAGTTGTGCAGAAGGGCAGAAGGGCAGCGGGGCAGCAGGGGTTTCTAAGAAAAATAGCACGCACACATACATACGCGCATTGTATGGCAGTCGACACTTTGTGCCCCTTTCGGCATTTTTCTCATTTGTTTAATGTGCCGAAAACAATAGCCTCCGCACAATTTATGAGCAAATTAATTAAATCGATGTTTTAAGTGCAGGCAAAAAKCAAAATGTAATAATAAGCTTGTATTGTGTGAGCAAGTGAGCGAACAATAACAAAGGCTTCAGCTAAGTGCCAAAGCGGACAGCCAACGGACCAAGAAAGCCAAGGAATTGCAAAGAGAAAGTATCTCGAGTTGGCAGCAAGTTTTGTGCGTAAAAACATATGCCACAGGCCACACATGCCACATACGCGCACACCAACACACACATTTCACATTGCCTTGTTGCCCGTATCCACCTACCGGCGTCGACCGCAACGAGAGCGGAAGGATTACCGGGTATAATATTATTATACCACAATATGGGTGTAGACGCTTACACTAAAACAAGAGCTCAACGACCATAACACACAGTCTGGAAAGAATAAAACACACGATTTTCTGATTACAGACATTTAGCTTTAAGTATGGTACGTGTAGTAGTAGTAGGTWTGTGTRGGACACACATTCAACCAGCATTGCTAGGTGTACATATACTCCGTATACTTGTAGAGGAAAGTTCACACAGCCGTTAGACAACACTCCTGTGACGGGTCAGTTCGATTCGTCTAGGCTGAGCAGGCCCAGGGGTCTCTTTAGTAGCGCAGCAATGACAAGCATTGAGCATGTGGCACGAAAAATATTAGAGGGTTGTGTTAGCGTTAAGGAGGCAGAGTGCAATGTGGTAAGGCGTTCTGGGAATAAACAGAGCTTAAATTAGCAATGAGCGCCTACTCTATGCAARATATTATATAAAGTGCCAAATATATTTAATTGAATGAATTTTAGCCTCTTTAGCTTACAGAATTTATATCAAATATTCATAATTGATTTAAAAAGCTTTGCTACATAAGCAGTGAAGAAGCTTTGAGAAAAAATTATACTCAGTTTTGTGATGCGTAAAATGGAACTTACAAAACGATCGATGAATTTGTGAACATATTCAATTGTGATATTTACAACACAAAACGAGTCTCAAGGACTTCTTCCACGATATGCAACCTTCGCCTTTCCGTTTAATTAAAAAGTTCAAGGAGATTAGTTCTCTATTCGCCACTTTCGATTCCCGTTAGCGGCGCTGCATGGATTTTCGGTCCCATGAATGCAAATAAATATCAATTATTGAGAGAGTTTACAAATAAGGACAACAAAAACAACAATTTCCCGAAACAAGCAACAAAGCACAACTATGCGTTGTTTTGTTCGAGGCAATGCGGTTCTTGGTTGCAGCGCCTCTCAAGCAACCGCCACCCATTTGTGTGTGTGTGTGTGTCAGTTTGTCTGCTGCGCCAACAACAAGTCATAAATTATGYAATTTATAGTTTTCTTTGTTGTAAGAGCTTATTAGCCAAATAAGTATTTTAAGCCTTGCCTGTGGATGGGTGCATGYCCGGGACAATGTCTGTCGAAGGGCGGAAAAGAGCGAAGTAAATGAGCGTGTGTGTGCACATAGTGAACGATGTGGTTTGCATATACTGCGGCCGAGGCGAATGCGGCTCGCCATCATAATAATTTATTGGCAGGTGCAAAATTTATTTATTTAAATGCATTCACTCTTCACGAAGCTCGTTTGCTCAAATATAAACTTGAACAAAATGCTCAACAAATCCGAAWTTTTTTATTTGATGCCTTTAGTTTTGAAACACTGACTTGCCTGCAGTTTTGTGGAATTCATAAGTGTTTTAGTTCTCCAAGATAAAGTYATTCACGAATTTTGGCCCGTAATTTGATTTATTTAACTATAAAAGAGAATTTAATAAAACTGAATRGCAAATAAAGCAAGGTTCGCACAAAACTTGCATCCATTAGCTTCTAYGTGGAAGCCTCACACTCAAGCACACACACGTTCGGGCTGCTCACTTATTTACGGAGCACGTTCAATGGTTTGACATTTAGTCGCTGCTGTGGCTGTAGCACTAAGGACTCATAGGGAGCAGTCGAGGATGACAGTTGTGCAGATTAAAACGGAGTAATGCTTTTCATTAGCTGATGCTATTTTCACTTGTTCATTTTCCCTCACTCCCCCCACACAAGCTCCAAACGGAACATTGTAAGAAGTATAGATGGGAGGCCATTACTTCGCTGGATGATACTTCGCTTGAACTGGCTGCTGTACTACAAACAATGTGTGGATGTATGTGAGCATGGATGAGCTCGTTTAGCGCAGTTGGGAGGAGTCCTTAACAGTTACCAACAGTGGTACTTCAACTTTGACTCAAAGGCCAGTGCCAATCACGTGGACACACACACGTGAAAAGGAATTGCAGAAATGGCAGTTGCTGTGCTCGAGATACCCGTATATTAAGAAATAATTGCCAATTTCGTTCGCAATCAGTAAATTAAATTGCAATTAAGCAATCGAAATCCGATCGAAATACCACAAGTGATTCCTATTTTTATTTTGCTCTTGCATTTTCTTTATATCTCACCTTCACTGCAATGCTTCTTACTTAACTACTATTTCATTGCTACGGCGAACGTGCTGACCCACTCCTTGCCGGGTTGCCCTCCACCGGTGTTTTATTGCCTCCGAATGGTGTGATTTCAATTGGAAATAGATAAAGCCACCAGCCACCAGCCACCCGAGCTGAGAAAAAACACAATATGCCGCGGTGTCAGCAGTACGAAGCATGGTAATAGCGCGGCGTGCTGGCGTGGCGGCACTGGATTGTCCGTTGTCCTACATGTGATGTCACGCCGCTGCTGCAAATTCACGTAAACATTTTAATCCGCTAAGCTTTCATTCGCTCGGTTCCATTTCATGGCGTGCACCACAGCGTTGCTGTCGAGCACTGAAAGCGCCGTTGTGCATTTCGATTTCCACAAAACTGCTGCTGCAAGCGGACGCGCTAAACCTMCGGCAAGGCGGCGGCACAACAGCGCTTGTCAGCTGAAGGTAAGACTCTGCAAAAAATATAAACAAAAAGGGATAAGTAAAAAACGGCACTTCTTCAAGGTGATCAGACCGTGTGGCAGCTGTTATTGCAAATGGAGCAACTACGGAACGCATGTTGCATGCCGCACGTAAGCGAAATTTTAACCAAGTGATTGCAAGAACTTGTATTGCCACTACCAATGCAATAGAGCTTTTATTAGTGCCTTCTGCTCTTGTTGCCGTACGTTTCTAAATTGATTAAATTGCATGATTTGATGCGCTCTACCCTTCCACACC